TATGTATGTGTGTATGTATGTATATATAATGAAATTATATGGAAAATGTTGAATAGGCTGGTTTGCGATTTTTTTTTTAAAGCTACAAATACGTATAATTAAAAACCTATAAGTATATTAGAAGTCCTGGCTGGATACACCTGTGGCACATGATTTGAAAGGGTAACAATAAGAGCTTGAAAGTAGTTGAGAGAATACTGTATCTCAAAGATAGTTATTCTTATTATGGGTCTTATGTATGAGAAGTTGCCATGTGCATTAAATTTCTATCATTGTTTTAACTAATTAACATAACCTTGGTGGCTTAAATGATATATGCTTATTATTTTGCAGTTCTAGGGATCACAGAGAAGACATGGATCTTGCTGGGCTAAAATCAAGGTTGTGGCACACTGTTTATTCTAGGAGAGATCCATTTTCTTTCCTTTTCTAGTTTGTAGAAGCTATCCACATTCCTTGACTCATGGCCCCCTTTCTCCCTCTTAAAAGCCAACCAAGTTGTATCTCACCATTTTTTCCCTGGTATCTGCTTCTGACTCTCCTGCTTCCCTCTTACACTTTTTAAGTGCCCTGATGATTACACTGGGCCAATTGAAATAATCCAGGATAATCTTGCTGTCTCTTAACAACCGTAATTCCATGTAAACCTTAAGTCTCCTTGTAATGTAACAGTTACAGGTTCTTGGGATTAGGACATGGGTATCTTTGAAGTTAAATTATTTTTAGCACACTGTGTTAGCAAACATATTTCTTGTATAATATGAACATATATAATTTGATACAAATAAGATTAGAATTTTATTTTTTCAGCCAGGGTTTATAGTGATATTAATGTGCTTAACTTTTAGGGTTCTGTTCTAAATCCTTCAGAGGTGTTATATATTGCCTAGGACTTGTATTATATTACCATAATCAACTACCATAATATATGCTATAGGCCAGGCACGATGGCTCACGTTTGTAATCCCAGCACTTTGGTAGGCCAAGGCAGGCAGATCACTTAAGCTGAGCAGTTCAAGACCAGCCTGGGAAACATGGTGAAATCCCATCTCTACTAAAAATACAAAAAAGTAGCCAGGCATGGTGGCATGTATCTGTGGTCCTACATCCTTTGGGTATTGAGGTGGGAGGATGACTTGAACCTAAGAGGTCAAGGGTGCATTGAGCCATGATCATGCCACTGCCCTCTTGCCTCGGCAACAGAGTGAGAGAGTGAGACTCTGTCTCCAAAAAAGGAAAAAATATGCTATATTTAACTTTATAAAAATCCAATAAATTTTTAATACCAAAATATGTTTAGTTGGAAGACTTTGGATGAGCGATTGTTATTTGAATACGAATACGATTTTTAGTGGTGTAGATTTAATGGCCAAAAATACTGCTGATTTTATTTGTTTGAAGATTTGATAGTGATCATATGTCTTCCTAATTTCAGATAGTTCTTCCAGTGTGGTTTTTAGCAGGTTTTTTTTTTTTTTTTTTTTTAAAGACAGGGTCTCACTCTGTTGCCCAGGCTGGAGTACAGTGACATGATTATGGCCCATAGCAGCCTTGACCTCCTGGGCTCAAGAGATCCTCCCACCCGAGCCCCACAAGTAGTGGGACTACAGTTGTGAACCACCATGCCTGGCTAATTTATTTTACTTTTTGTAGAGATAGAGTCTCACTGTGTTGCCCAGGCTGGTCTCAAACATCAGGGCTCAAGCAGTCCTCCTGTGTTGGACTCCTGGTGTTGGGATTAGAGGTATGAGCTATGGCATCTGGCTTTAGACTTTTCTTAGATACAAAATTCTTAATCTGACAAAGAAATTTGCAAGGATTATATACTTTTAGTTTTACAATTGGTGTTTACTAAAATTTTTTTTTTTTGAAGATGGAGTTTTGCTCTTTTTGCCCAGGTTGGAGTACAATGGCACGATCTAGGCTCACCCCAACCTCTGCCACCCGGGTTCAAGCAATTTTCCTGCCTCAGCCTCTTGAGTAGCTGAGATTACAGGCATGCATCACTACGTCCAGCTAATTTTATATTTTTAGTAGAGATGGGATTTCTTCATGTCGGTCAGGCTGGCCTTGAACTCCCAACCTCAGGTGATCTGCCCACTTCGGCCTCCCAAAGTGCTAGGATTACAGGCGTGAGCAACGACCTCCAGCCTACTAAATTGTTAATGTTGAAACATTGTCTGAAATTATCGAATTGGACAAAATCCTTTTGTGTAGAATTTATATTTTATTTAATATTCTAGGTAGTTTATAAAATTATTTATTCTCTTAAACCCGTTGATGAAAATGTTGATTTATCGTTATCTTACATTGTAGATATTGATTTAATTATAGAATACATAGTTAAGTAGAAAAACAGCAGCTCACAATCTACTGTTTGCCAGACACAGTGCTAACGTATGAAAAACTCAAGATAAGTGCCGGGGCAGGAATTTGAATGCAGATTTCTGATTTCAAATCTATTATCTCTGTACTCTGTCAAATTGCTTCTCCCAATGGTTTGTGATTCAGACTCAAAGTAAAAACCAGAATTTCCCTTTAATTGTAATGTTATATATTCTTTCGGAGCCCTTTCTCTTTCTTCATTTCTGTAGCCCTATGGTTGAAGTCTTCTTGGGCTTTTATTTCTCGTTCCTTCCTGTCTGCAGTTCCTATC